TCCTTTCTGCTTCAGGAATTTTTTCTAAATAAACCTACAGTTAATCATGCTACATTTTTCCTGATCTTGTTTCTTGTTGATAAATCAATGTCAGAATGTTACATATTTTAATGATCTATAAAAATAACTTACACATACTTAGCTATTCCTCCATTGCGCTGTTTTTAGCATCAAATATTCAGAGATTATTAGTAAGAAGCAACTACTCAGAGAGCATTATTGCTTCAAAAAGGATTCTGGGAGGTTTGTGATAATAACAAATTTCCTGTTTACCTGATGATCCTTCTTTTACATTTCTGTGATGGTAATGCAAAAGAAATACACTAGAGATGTGGATTTATCATGGGAAAATAATAAGGATTCTAAGGATACAGAAAATGTTTTACTTTTTTTTACTGATTTTACTTTTTAAATGTTTTTGTTTTATAAAAAAATATTTGTTTGTTTGTTTGTTTCTTTTTGGAATTCTTAGAAAAAGCATAAAATAGTCATTATAATATATGTCAAGTACATATATATACCACCCTAAAAAGAATCAGACAGGCTTAGAACAGTGAAGCCGTGGGTTTGAAGGATGAGTAAGGAGAGATACTAGAAAGGTAAAATAATTTATCCAAATAAAGCTGTAAAAGATCCCCAGAATCTTTCAAAATTGCTTGTGGCAGAATTGTTTCCTCATTATGTAAATCATAAATACGTAAATATAATGTAAATAAATGTAAAGAAATAGTTGTTTTACCGTTGTTATCTCATTTGATTTAACAGTATCACAAACATATGCGGGATTTTACTGAAAATTTCTAGCAAGAAGAATGATTATATTCTCAAAAAGAAGCAGTATTCATCAAATTAATTGGCCAACTTACCACTTGCAAAGAAAGTTTATTGATTCTTAAATCAATTAATTATCACCTCTTTTTTTCACCTCTTCCACAAATACATAATTCCCCTTTTGTTCACAGTGGAACTACCTTAAAAAAATATATGGTTTTGTAGAGCTGTAGCCAACAGATGGCTGTGATCAGACCTAAACTAGTAATGCTAAAATGAATTACCAAGGGGTATTTACACATCATCTTCTAGAGAAACATCATAATGTCCCTAAATTACAGAATCACAGAACTGAAGGGTTGGAAGGGACCTCGAAAGATCATTGGGTCCAATCCCCCTGCCAAATCAGGTTCCTTACAGCAGGCTGCCCAGGTAGGCATCCAGACCAGCCTTGAATATCTCCAGAGACGGAGACTCCACAACCTCCCTGGGCAGCCTGTTCCAGTGCTCCATCACCCTCACGGTGATGAAGTTCTTTTGCATGTTGGTGCGAAACTTCCTGTGCTCAATCTTGTGGCCATTACCCCTTGTCCTGTCCCCACAAACCACTGAAAAGAGGTTTGCCAAATCCCTCTGTCTCCCACACCTCAGGTATTTATACACACTGATGAATGTGAGCCTCAGTGCCCCTCAGCAAGGAGTCTCTGATCACTAAGACTCTCCATTATTTTTTTGTGGAACTGGTTGTGATGCAGTGCTCCGCCCGGCCCCGATCCCTATGCTCAGTACTTCCCCCAATCTTGACACGCTTTGCAGGGTTGCTTCCTAGGTTCAGACTACTGTCCAGACCTTCAACCTCGTCCTTTTCCCACCTGAGAAGGGAGTCACCTACAATGATTACCCTTCTATCTTTCTTGGTGGAGGCAGTCTTGAGGCGTGGAGTTGACTTCCTTGCCCTAGGCATCCTCCTGGGTAGACCTACTACCTCATCCTTACCCATCGGTCTCTCAAGCTCAAGGGCCTCAAACCTGTTGTGTAAGGGCACCTGGGAATCTGGGGCCAGTAGGGGGGAGTGTTGCCTGTGAGGTCGAGCAGGGACCTGTCTCCATTCCTCCTCAACTCCGAGATCCCCTCCCTCTGCCCGACTGCGACAGGGCAGGGGGTCCACCCCCATTTGGGGTGTCTCACCCTGGTACCTCTCCTTCAGGCCTGGCAGGGAGTTGCTCCACCAGTCTATCTCCTGCTCACACTCCCTGATGGCCCTCAACCTCTCCACCTCCTCCTTAAACTCTGCCACCAGGCAGACCAGGTCATCTACCTGCTTGGACCTCATTACTTTGTGAGTTGTCTCTTAAAGTTCTGCTTTGCTACATGTCAGTACTTTCACCTGCCATAATCCTTTGTTAAAGCCAGTGGAAAAGAGCCAGTGATATGATCACTATACTGTTTTGAGAGGAAGTTTAAAATAGAGGGTTTTTTGTTCCATGTTCTGAGATTCATATCTGTGCTCACAAATCAGTTCCACACAGCTGGACTTCCCATCTTTTGCCTGCAACAATTGCTTGAATAAAATTAAATAAATAAATACAAATGGAAGTCCCAGTAATTCACTGTGGTCAAGTGTTTCTGATAAGTGAGAGGTAGGTTCGCTCTTATCAGAGCAGATCTGCAACACTATGCAGCCAGTAGTATCTTTTTAATTGACATGTCAGCTTTGGATATGTTTGCAAATTTTTAAGCTATTTTTTTTCAAGATGCTTGCAATTCTTGCAGGTTTTTACTTTCTCTTCCAGAAATATTTGAGTCACTGACAGATGTCTTACTAGCAGCAAATAGAGATGCTGGACAGATATGTTTGTCAAAAGAACAGAAGCAAACCACATCCTTGATTTCAATGTGCCTTATGTAGACAGACAGTTAAATTTGCATATATATGGTGTCAGTGCCCAGATGAGTTCTCTGAGCAATTCTATCAAGCATGATCTTGACTTTCAAATCTTTGCAGCCCCTACATATACTTAAATATTTAAAAGAGATATTCTAATACATTCAAAACAAAGTCTTTCAGAAAATCAGTTTGTTGACCAAGGTTGCAGATATTCAGTTTATATAAGAAAAATATTTATGTTTACTTAATAACTGTCTATTGTAAATTCTATTTCAAATGCAAGTCTTGCTTACTTTTTAAAAAACAGACTAACTGGTTAAAGTTTCCACTGAGAGAGCTTTCAGCTAGGAGTATTTTATTTTGCATACTTTCTCAGCATATTGCCATGGTATTCAACTGATTAGCTGTTAAATGGTTTACATTATAGGAATAGGTTAGGAATATTTTTCCACTATTTTTATTTAGTATATTGTTCCGGAAAGTATTGGCATGTACTGCATGAGGTATTGAGCTAATTACATTCTTTTTTACCCTCATCACACAGTATGATTAATAAACAATTAAATCTGAAGAAAATTATGTACTAATAAAAGTCTGCATGAATGAGTGATATGACCCCTACAGGGGTTTGAGTTAAGCTGATGTGAGGGTTCAGAAGGGTCAGGACACAATAAAATAGGTGATATGATTTCAAAAATCATTTCAGAACATTTTGTGCTGATTTATGAGTAATACAATGTATTGCATTATTTATATTCTGCACAATCTAGACTTGGTAAAGTATCCATTACACATATCTTTTCCTTCTGATTATTTGATTAGTAAAATCTGAATTCTGGTTTGATGATTTTCAGAGAAAAAAAAAAGGCAATAATTTATTGAAGGTTACTAAACTGGCATTGGTGATTTTTAGAATGTCTACTTTCTTCATTAGTCATTAATTACTCATGAATTCTGATTCCCACATGTATTTTTTATTTATTATTTATGCTCTCTCTGTTTTATACTTTGTACTGTGTCCAGCATAGAACACCTTCTAAATAAAATTGCTTTTTTCTGTATGAACAAGGGAAGTTACAAAGTTGAAAAGGTGAGAGCTGGATCACTATGGTATACAAACTGATGTGAAAATTTGATTGTTCAATAAAACTGGTCTTCAAGAGAAGACAATCTTTAAAACGATTTTAATCTGCTAAGAAAATAAGAAAAATATCTCACATCAATGTGACAAGGAAGAATGAAGGAGAAGAGAATCTTTAATTCCCAGTCTTCCCATGAAAAATATATCAACACATGTGGATTCTTAAAACAATCTCCAGCTGTCAATTATCTGGAAATAAGTGGTACATGCAAACATCACTGGAGAAATACAGGGAGCTTCTCTGTTTGCATGTTCTGTATGGTTATTAAAGAACATTGCAGAGACTGAAACATATTTTCATTTGTACAACAAGCTTGGTGTGTTTAGAAAGTTTCTTCACTTGGGAGGTTTCATCTAACATTCTTTCTCATCCAAACCATATGATAATTTACCTCATAATTTACTTATTTATTGACTACTATGTGTCTTTTCAAATTAACATCAAAGGATAGCAGAACTATTTCAGTGAATCCTATAAGCACTCTTGGACCCCAGATAGAGATAAAGTGGAGTAACTTCAGGTTAAAGGAATGAAACAGATGTTATATAACTGAACTTTATTGTTAGTGGTTCATACAGAGCTTCACAGAATCTTACTTGAAAAATTACTTTGGTTTTGTATAAAACAATGTGTTACATCCAGATATAGCTTAAATTTTAACCTGTATTCATTCACCTTCATATTCTACAAAAACAGAGGTTTCTTCAATGATTATCATTATGAGCAACACTAAAATAAGATTCAGTCTGAAAGAAAATAAATAAATAAAAGTGAGATAATATACTTTGAAAAATTATTTTATGAAATTTAGCTGTGGTTCAAGGAAAAATGAAAAACAATTCATGCAGAGCATTAGTAGATTTATAACCAGAGATGTGTTTATAGGGTGATACAGCTCTACTGAAATCTATGCAATTGGGAAATTACATTCACAATCATAGACATTGTTATAGACCAGAAGAATTATAAAGCTTCTGTTTTTGACATTGATCAGACTACACTTAATGTCTGTAGATATGACTCCTCAGTATTATGAAGGCAGCATTAAAGTATATTATTAAGCAGATACTCTACTTTCAATGTATGCTTGGTGTTTCATTCATGTGAGCCTGAATTTGCTCTTTATATTTTTTAATTCCTACAGAATCATGGCCTATGTAATCTTACTGCTGGAATTCCATTCATCCATCCATTCATCCATACTTACCTGGCAGGGGAGACAATATGATTAGGCAGGCAGTTTTCCTAGGGTGAGGCTCATCCCCTGCACACTGGTTTGCTGACTCCTGGGACTTTTCCAAGCGCAGGAAATTCAGAAATTGTGGGAGTGGGGAACTGCATTTGTGCTCTCCCCTTAAAATTTTATCTTCAGTTCTAAAGATAAAAGGAAGGCTGGACGTCCTTCAAGAATGCAATCTTGAAGGCACAGTTGCAGGCCTTTTCAGATGTACCGAGCTTATCAGGTATTGAAGAAGCTGGCAGAAGTGCCTCACCAAGGCACTTTCAATAATTTCTCAACAGTCCTGGTTAACTTTAGAGGTCCTGGTTGTCTGAATGTTAACAAATATGATATCCATCTACAAAGACAGGGAGGAAGATCCAGGGAACTACAGGCCTGTCAAGGAAGGTCATGGAGCAGATCATTTCGAATACCATCATACAGCATGTACAGCACAAACAGCTATGCAGACCCAGGCAGCAAAGGCAGATTCTGCTTGACTCACCCTACAGCCTCCCCTCTCCCCCTCCCCTCCCCCTCCCCCCCCAGTGACAGGAAGACAGCTGATGAGAAAGCAAACAAAGACAAGAGTGTTTTCTTGCACAAAAGGAATGGTTATCACTGAGGACAGGTTCGTAGTGGACTGACTTCCATTTTAGAAGACTGGATGATGTGATACTTGCTTTTTCCTGGTATCCCACAGTTAGGAATGAAGCTGTTGTCTGCATGCAACATGAGTTAAAATATTAAACAGAACTAAAAGAATTATATACAAAAGGTAGCATGCCATGTTTGGTTTTATTAGTCTTCAGAACCACTTCTGGCTATTTGATGGCAACATCTTCTGGCCATAAAACTATTGTAACATATCAGGAATTAAATCCTTAAACCATAAAATTAGAGATTATGCAACAGGATTATCCACACTTTGCAAATTCAGATTTAGAGATCAAGTAAAAAGAAAAGAAAATTATTTTCCTTCAGTAGTTCCCATAAAATATTAAACTTGTAGTGGCAAAAAAATCATTCTTTGGACTAAACAAACTAGTAAATTAGTTTTAGTCTGAGAAACATGGTTTCCTTACTCCCAGTGTCTATTACAGTCAGTGTCTGTCAAGTAGAAGCTGAATGAGTTGAATTCATGCATTCAGAAACTAAATCAGGCTTCAAAAATGTTGTAAAAAGAGTTTCCTAATTCAGAAGCTCATAGCCTGCTGTCAATTATGCTGATGTTAAACTTGTGTTTAACTTGTGTTAAACTTGTGTTTAACATCAGCACACACAACATCCAGAGCAATGTAATCTATTGCAGGATGTGGACAGATAGTCCCATGCTTTTTAATAAAATTCCTAAGTTCACACTTCACAAACTATACACACACAAATAGTAACTCCTTGTCCAAAAAAAATATGAGACGCTATGTTGTGGTTTGTAGAAATGCTAAAAATTATGTACTCTGCTAACTATTGCTTCTGTTTTCAGATTGGACTCAGATTTGATCTTGGAGTGAGGCATCACTGCTTTCCTAAGAGACCATCTTAAATAGGTATAGAAGATGGTCTGGGAAATGTGTGTTATATACTTTTAAAAGTGAGGATCTGTTAATAAATGACTTGCCTTCCATATTCAGTGACCACTTGCTACATGGTGAAAGAAAAATCCTTACAATGACCAAGATTTTAAATCTTTCCTTTGAGCCAGAGAAAGATTTCTGAGACTATTCAAGCATCTTCACCTTCTGGCATGATTATTCAGGAAAAAAAATAAAATTAAAAAAAAAATCCCCTTGATTCCCGCTTAGCCTATTCTGATCAGATTCTTTTTCTCCAGACTGAACATTGCAGAAATAAGAAGGAAAGAAGGAAATAAGAAGGACGTACAGGAAAACCAACTCACATATGAAGACTCTGACTTTGCTAAGACTTTGTCTCACACTTGTATAGCATGATTTTAGGAGGTTAGATAAATTAAAGATTAGGTATAAACATTACTCTTTACTAGTTAATGCAATAAGAAAATATTTACATGCCAGTGATGATATATCACATACATTTATTTCAGGCTTTAATTCAGTTATGATTAAGAAGTACACAGAAACATGAATCAAACTCCAGACAAGTATCCACAAGTAGCTCAGCAAAAGAAAAACAAGATATATTTATTCATAACTATATCTAAAGCTGGGGAAAAAAAAAAAAAAAAAAAGAAAAAAAAAAAGTATAACACAAAGTTCTGACCTGCACAGTGTTTAATATAAGCAATGAATATCTGGTGAGTGAGTCAACTTTACACCCATGGGGACTTTGTCAGTGTCTATATTAGAAGTTTATCCTCATCACCCCACATGTTGCAAGACTTACACTGCATCTGTCTCAAAATGCGTCTTCTCTCCATTGCCCAGGCTGCTCTTCTCTAAAACTGATTTTGTCTAGAAGATGCTGGAAAAGTAAACAAAGCATTAAGAGCATATTTTGAGAGAGACTGAACAGTTGCGCTCTGTCCTGCATATATTTAAGCAATCTGAAAAGTCAATATATTTAAAACACAATTAAAAACATAAAATATTCTGTAGAAATTGAATAAATCCACGAAGTCCAAAACAACAGGAGAGAAGAGGGATCTACTTACTAAGTGGATTTTTAAGATTCAGAGTTTTTCATTTTTTATTTTTCTTTCTAAAACAAAGTGTTTATACTGCACCATATTGTTTATACTTCATGGAAAAATAAAGTAACCTTCCAGTGTTATTAAGACCATCTAAAGGTATATTTGAGGTTCCAAGATCCGTGTTAGTAGATCTAGACAGGTCAGTAACATGTAAGCAGAGGATCTCCATATTGTAGAAGCAGGGTGAAGTTTATTGATTACTACCCAGTCTCAGAACTGTCTTTTTATCATCCATGGAGATTGTTTCTCTCACATGGACTCCTTTTATGTTTTTCATCTGGGAAAGAGAATTTGCCTCTTTAGTGGAAAAGAAATCTGAAACCAGGAGAACATTTTGTCGTCTATTTTAAGGCTTTTAGTAAACAACCTGTATAGTACCTGGGACCTTCACTGTATTCAGTTTTAAAACTACTCCTGACCTCCCCTGGGGTAACAATTTATTCACAGTCAAAATTTGTGTTTTCTCAGTGTTATCCAGCTGTGTAATTTTCTTATTATTCCCGTAACTATTTTATTCAGAAGTTCATGTATACACTAAGCAGTATTTTTAGACCTATTTCAGACGATCATTGAGTATATATATTATTAATTTTTTTCAGAACTATCATAACAGTTTCCTCATGAAATATATAAACAGTATTGAAATTAGAAGTCTAAGGAGGAATTACATAATTAAAATGTCAGTAATGACTTATTCTTTAGAAAAAGAATATCAGTCTTTGTTTTTACAAACATATCATTACTTTTCACCGGTAGCTAGTTTTCTCAGGAGTAACTGGATAATTAAAAAGATTTGCTGCGTATACACAAAAATAACATTTGTAGGTAAATTCTCTGAACAGGATTTATTTCAATAAAAGAATCAGACTGAAAATAAACACTTTCACTTTATGGTGAAATTACTACCAATGACATATTTCTGCAGTGAACTCTGATTTCTTTTTAGTCTAGCATCATACTTCACTGCCTGCCTCTTTTTGTTTAGTATGTACAGCACTGTAATGCTATTCAATAAAAGAAAAATTGGTCATTGTTTGTTACTACTCATTAGTCTGGGCTTTTTAATTACACTTAGATGATCTAAAATTATGAAAATGAACAAATTGAAGCTCAGAGAATGACTCATAGGGAGGGGGGAAAAAAAGATAGCCTTATGTGATCAATTGCCTGTAGACATAAGCCTGCTCTGCCTGTTTTTCCAATCAGACCTTGGCCTGACTAACCAAGAAAAGAATTCTTGGCAGCAAGTCAGACAGTCACATTAGGACAACTCTGTGCTCAAGTCAGTATGCCCTGAGAAATGGTACCAGTATGGGCTCCTTTTTAATCAATAGGATGATGGTACTACATTTATTCTAGGTTTTCATCAAATCTCTTTCAGCTGATGGAGAGGAACTATTACCTCCTTGTAACTGTGTCCATTGTTGACTTACCTGATAGATACCTGTGAAATACAGACATTTTAGACAAAGAAATTGGAATAGTTTTGAAAAGTAAAAACCCAAATCCTAGGAAAATAAATAAATAAATAAATAAGGGTGTCAGAGAAACCCAGAAGAGACATAAAGGAATCTTTGAATAGTCAAAAAATAAGCACAAAACCTACTAAAATATTGAAGTTAGACCACATAATATGTGCCAAGTATCAAGACATACACTTAAGGTAAAAAAGCAATACAGCTTATCCTGCCCATTTCAAGCATTACTGAAGATGCATTGCTGTAATTAGCCAGGGTTGTGCTATTCTTCCTATGCTGTGTCAGCGGTGTCTGCCTAGATTTGTACTGTAATCATTTCTTCCAGTTTCAGTTGATCTTAGATATAACAGCTGTTATCTCCAATGTAAGTGATGATTTCAAGAGAAAGTTGTACATCGTGACTGTATATTAAATGTTTAAGTCTCTCCAAATGATATGCTATTGTGCATATTCATTTTGTGACCTTCATACTTTTGAAGCTAAATTTGAGACCAAATAAGTAAAATAGAAAGAAAGAACAACAACTTTTTTCTCTTCTCTTCTCTTTACTCTTGGATTCTCCTTACTTCATGAAGTAAGTCAAAATACTACTTCAGTTCAAATATATTTCTGTTTGTTTTCTAATGTTTAATAATTACTTAATTGTTAAAACTCTGAATAAATTAGTTTATGAAGGCAACTGCAAATGAACTTCCTAGTTTTTCCTCAAAAGCATGTACACCTATCAATTTTACTCTGACTTCTTTTTAAAAATAAATTGTAATATGCAATAAAAGTTAACATTCACTATTCTCTTGCATTTGGTTTCCACTTAAAAAACACATGGAACGATTTACATATGATTTATCGCTACACTACAATAACACACTGAATGTATGCTGTTTTGTTCAAGACCTCATTCAACCAAAGCTTCCCAGAAGTTCCCCTTGAACAGTTCACAATTTGACTAAAGTCCTAGAATTGTAGGAAATATTTTGTAACATATTAATTA